TCTTTCTCCCTCCCTCCCTCCCTCCCTCTCTCTCTCTCTCTCTCTTTCTCTCTCTCTCATCCACCGTGACCTATCCCAATGATGCACCATATGCGCTGGTCAGTTACAGCCGCTCAGTCACCTTTTTCTCCGTTGTTACTACGTTACATCGTACGCAAGAAAAGATGTAGGTCACAGCGGATATGCCATTCATGCCTCTCTTTTCACATTTTTAAATCTGAGATCTCGTATCTCGGAAACCAATTGAGATATTGATTTGAAACAAAAAGCATAAATAGCCTATTTTCTTCCATGCATAAGGCGTATCTAATTTTAATGCGTTCCAAGATTCTCTTCCAAGATTGTTATTTGATTATTATGACAATACGATGTATATTACTCGAATTACGAATATGACAACATTTGTATCTAATTTCCGTAATAACGCTGTCAATGTATCGAATCACGATTACTTTCGATTATTGTTAAATATTTTTTCAAATTTTGAGAAAGCTTTCTCGCGAAATAGGAAACCGAACTCGATATAGTTTCTTTCTCCTTGGGCATCGCGGTTCCAACGCGGATGGATTAAACCATTGTGTCGTTCTTATTCGTTTCGGGACGGAGGGAGGAAATGTAGGTCGCGCTGTTTCGACGAGAAACGATAATTGCTGTAAAACGAACGGGAAGGAAACGAGAAAGAATCGTTTCTTTCTTCAAGATAATGATAATTCTTCGCGGTTGATCAAGATTCAGAATCAAGATGCGTTTGAAAAATGAATTAAATATGGATGAAAATTTATTGATGCTCCTTCTTTTTTTTCTTTTTTATTATTACATTATGTTTCACAATAATCTACACAATAATCGTGTTCGTGAGAGGACAGAGACGAAAATAATAATCGAACGATTCGATTTACAATTTCCAAGCTTCATTCTTCACGGCGTGGAGGTATAGGTCGGATTTAGTGACCTGATTGCGCGATTGTATCGGCCCTCTCAACGAGACGAAACGAAACGAACAATGCTTTATTCCGCGTCCGATATCGTTTAAATGAAACCATTTGTTGCTTAAATCGATGTTTGCAAACGCGATCGATTTATCGATCATCGAATTATTCACGGGGAGATCTCGAATCGATCGTTAAATAAGCCCGGAAATAATTTAATATCATCGTGTAATAATTCGGTGATCGATTTAAAATACGATTTGCCAAGAATTACGATCTTTTTTTTCAAAAAAGAGACGAAAGAATGTTGAAAAAAAGGATATTTCCTCCTGTGTAAAAAAAAAAAGATTATACCTATTTCATTTTTCGTTAGTCGTTCTTCGTTTCGCGGAGTCCTATAATTTCATCGATTTTCAGAGAGAATCCTGGCTGGTTCAGAAACTCGGCTGGATTTTGGTTCAACTCACGTTTCGGCTTTGGACTTATGAACGCGTACTCGTTGGTCTCGGCAAGTTACAATTGGACCACCGTGCCCGACAAGATCATCTGTAAAGTGGACGTTGCTGAAGGGTAAGTAATAATTTTCCTTTAATCGATAACATTTTTTTATCCACGACTTTTTATCAACATTAAATATACGCGAAACGTAGGCGTTTCGTTTGAACGAAAGAAAAGTATGATTAAGAGAGCGTAGAAAAGTACGATTAAGAGAATTAGTCAGATAAAATGTGACACAGGATTAATTATTATATATTAATAAAATTAATAATTAAGTATAAAATTAATAAAATTCATAAATTAATAAATTAATAAAAATTAATTAGTAAAAATAAATTAGTAAAAATTATTTAAATTATTTAATTGATCGATAATACGAAACTATCCAATCGTACTTACCTTCCCCACATGCAAACACACATAGAAATTATCACTCGCAGTTAGATTATCACTATACATATTATCACTACACGTATTATCACTACACGTATTATCACTACATATATTATCACTACATGTATTATCACTACACATAATTTCTTCTTGTTTTAAACTTTTTTAAACACCACTAACACTCATACGAACTCGAGACACTGTTATTTCGCACACGTTCCATTTATATCTCAATTTTTACTAAGTATTTTTTTAATAACAATTTTTATAATATCACATTGAGAAAAATTAAATGTGTGTTCTTAAGCGTTGCAGAGACAGAAAGCAGGCGTGTGCAAATTACGCGTCGCGATTCTCGGACACCCGGTGATGTTCCCCGTTTCGTCCTTGATCCTTTGAAAAGCGCAGCAAAGCCAGCTTTGACTTTTTTACGTCGTTAAACTCAACATGCCGTAAAGTGCACTTCAGTCATTCGTTACTGCGCCGTAAAGAAGGCAGTCGAAAAAGTGGAACGTCTCGAGACTTTTCGTACGTTTCTCGCGTCAGTTTACAGTTTCCCGGGATGAAAAGTAGCCCCGTTTTCCCCTTTGAGCTTTTCCCGACGCCCTTCAAAGTGCAACCAAGACCTTTCCCTTCCTTCCTCTTCTTCTTCCTTTTCTTTTTTCCGAACTTCGAACCAACATTTTTCGTGTCACCGCGCGTCACTTCCTTTCGAAAAAGAATTCCGACGAGATTTCGATGCACATCCATTCCATGTATGTCGCTTAATTGATATCCGATGTAATTATTCACAGTAAAACGTTTAATAATCGATTAAGATTATTTCCATCTTGGCAATATTCCAGAAAGTTTCCATAAAATCTATCGACAAGATTACACGCGGAAACACTCGATATACGAGAAAACGTTTCTTCTTGGTCTAGAATCGATAAGAAGTTGGCTTATGGAAATGCAAGGAGGATACGATTCGAGGCGGAAGATGAGTGTCGTAAGGCGGGGGACGAGATTACGTTTTTGGAACACGTAGAAATTGAGGTTAGCCTCGAGTACAGTGTTCGTGGTTCTCTTCAGATACATCTAACTGCGCCATCAGGTAAGAATCCGTCTGTTTCCGTCGAATGTTGAATCGTAACTGCGTCGAATATAAAGTGGAAGAGTGGGGAATAGCTTTTCGTGGAAATAATAATCTCCAATGATAACATATAATACAGCGCGTGTTTCGTCGAATTCAAAACATTTGAAAACGAAAACATTAAACTCTAATAGAAATATTTCGATTATAATATAATATACGCGCGCGTTCCGTCCTTTTCAAAACAAACATTTGAAATCAAAATATTAAACTCTAATAGAAATATTTCGATTATAATATAAATACACGCGCGTGTTTCGTCGATATAAACAAAACATTAAACTTTAATAGAAATATTTCGATGTATTTATATGTCGTACGAAATAGAAATTTTGTCTCAGTCTCGATCGAAACGCGCGAGAATGAGATGGGGAAATAAAATTCTCGCATACAGATTCGATCGAGGCGCATCCCCTCTACTCGAGATCGATTTCACGTGGTGAATTATCGTTTCGAGAAACGATGAGGCGTGCGAGATTTATAATCTCTCAGTTCCATCCAGTTTTTAAAGAGAAATTTAAAGAAAAATATTTTTACCTCCAATCTTTCTTTCCTTCAAGTTTCAAAGATACCCCGCGGTGTCAACGCGAGCATTAATAAAGCTTTTATTTTGCGAGGGAAAAAGTTGGTAAATGGGAAGGAAGCTTTGAAAAATAATTCCTCCTCTTTCTCTCAATCTCGTATCTCTCGAAGCAAATTTAACCAAAGATTTTCTTACGTTCATTTATTCACCATTATTATCTGCTTCTTGGAAAATAAATTACGAGAATGTAATAGAAATACATTCGTGTATAACGATCGATTTTACAGTAACAGAGCTGAATCAAAACTAATTCTAACGAATCAAAGAGAGAGAGGGAGAGGAGGGGGAGGGAAAGGGACAATGCGTAGCTTTAATTTCGAACACGAATTCGCGAATTCTGTTATATTAATAGCCAATATTCCGCGCGTGAATGCATTGGGAAATATTTGAGAAACAAGTAACCACGAAGCAACGATAATAATTTCGATCGATTAAGAAAAAAGGGCCATACGATTTCCATCAATGCATATATTCTCCTGATTTCAATTACGAGAAATAAAATTTATTAATTGAATCTTTATCTCTCTCTTTTTCTTGAATTTTTACTTGCTCGAAAACAATTTTTCATTTCCACATAAGAGAAAAAAATAAGATAAATTTCACAATATAATGAAAATAGAATTCATTGGATTGTTATTCTCTTTTTTATTTTTTTTTTTTTTTTAATTTCGATGCATTTTCAAGGGACAAAAGTACAGATATTGAAACCAAGAAAATTGGACGATTCGACAGCAGGTTTCGAAAAGTGGAAATTTATGTCTGTAGCATCGTGGGGCGAGGATCCACGTGGTAGATGGATTTTAGATATTCTTGACGAGGTAATCCATTCAAGAATTAATTTCCTGTTTGCTTCACACGAGAAAAAAGAATAGAAGAATGCAAGATCTAATCGAACTTGTTCATTTGCAACTCAACAGATCGGCCCGAAAGAAAATAATGGAACGATAGAAGGATTTGCATTAATTTTACACGGAACCAGGGAAATGCCCGAGTATCGTAAAAATGGGCCACGAATTTACAATCAAGACTACAATCGAATTCGAAACATTGTGAGTAGATTTCATCCCCACGAATTGTAAAAGAATTTCTCCCTGCATTTCCTTTTTCCTCGTTAATAATTTTCGACGAGCTTCGAATTTCTCTTCTTTAATATTTTCGACATTCTAACGCGAAAAACTTGAATCGAATATCTTATTATGCAGAACGATGACCGATCGATGAAATCTATGTTCGAGAGGAAACTACGATTACTTCTTCAAGAGACAAACGACGTCTATGAAAAAGATTGGCTCGAATTCTTATGAATATATACATATGTATATTTTTAGAAAAAATTATCATTTGTTATATAAAAAAGAAAATGTAAAAAAATAAAGGTGAATGAAATAATAAAAATCGATACATTCTTTTTTCTTTTGTATAATTCATTCGGTTTTCATATATCACTTACATATCCTTTTTTTATTCCAGAGAATATAAAAAAAATATAAAAAAAAGAGAATATAAAAAAAAATCTTTAATAAGAACGTAAGAATATAATTGATGATGTAAAGATCAGTAACAGATGGCTACGATACAAAGGAAATGATAAAACAAACTGCATATTTTAACAGTTTTTTTCAAAAAAGCATGCATGAAATAAAAAAAAAAGGAAGAGAAGGGATGAAAGTAGAATAAGAGAAGCCATGTTGACATTTTTCAGAATAATTTCCATCAAGCAACAGGCTTACCCCAAATATAACATGTTTCGCATTTCTTGTGTAAATATGTCGCTGTTATGGCATACGTTTCCTTGTTCTCTAAATCCATTGCTTGGCAGAACGATAACTTAGAGGAATACGATGCAATCTCGAGATACGAGAAGACAATTTCAGAGTCAAAAGATTCGTTGCACATAGATGAATTTACATTCGCGTAATCCTCGTGTAAATTTCTATAGTTTCTCTCTTTGAATTTATTAATTTCTGATTAATTTCTATAATCGATCGAATTAATAAACAAAAGAATCTCTGAATCTTTCGCTTATAGAAAGATTTATTCGTTAAAAAAAGCATTCTCAGGAAATTAAACTCTGACTTCCCGACAAAAGATATTATTACTTCTCACAAAGATTAAGGAAACAGTATTTAAGAGATCTCGGAACACGTATTTTAAATAGAACGTGACCGAGTTCCGATATTCTTTTTCTGAGTAATGCAATTAAGTTTTCTTAAAATCCATCCTATGTTTAATTCCACGAAAGTGTCGGCAGATAAAAATGCTTTCGTACGAGGAAAATGAATTATTTATTCGTTTTTAGTACCATATTCAACGAGAACGAATCGAAATTAGGGAAATTTTCTTAAAAAAAAAACCATTAATTTCTTGTTCTTGTTAATAATTGTTACGATTATTCTGAAAATAGTACAGGATCGGATACAACGGTCATAAATCATTTCGCGATGCAAAAATGCAAATTATGCAAGATGATGAGAAGTTTTGGGACGATGCATAAGCGAGGAACATTTCCAGTGAAATATGGTGAAAGCTATTAGCGCAGCTCGCCAACTATTTCGTGTTTTAAGGGGTTAAGTTCGAGCGAAATTTCTACCAAGATCGTTTTCTTCTTATCATTTTCCAATTCGAGATACAATTCTTTCGTGTTAGTAGTAATTTTCTGTTAGTTAACAAACTCTTCCATCTCCCCTCTCGTATTATTCTCGTTTTCAATCAAAACTCGCGTTCGACGTCAAAGGACGATGCGTACGATACTCACTTTTCAATCTTGTCCCGAGGGAAAGGAATTGGTTGCTTCGATAAAATTCAATCTCAACAGATACGATAATGCAAACATGCATGTTGATGTGTTTTAATCTTGAATCGGGATAACGGATATACACAGTTATCCGAGAAATTAATAACAATAGGAACGATATATCCGTGAATTGAAATCAATCGTTGTACATGGAAAATAGAATCCATGGAAAATTTAATTAAAACGTGAATTAATTCTGGCCACCATGCGAAAACGCGTTCCCTCCCTTCTATTAAAGATCGTTTGCTTTATCGATTGAAATGAAATTACCGCGAATTAATTGTACGAATATTAATGAAAGTTAAAGCCCCTTAAGTTAGTGGAATAATTAACGTTAATATTTAACAAAAAATGTGTAAAATACGATTGTTTGCTGAGAAAAATGAAATTGCGTTAAATGAAAGAATTATCCAAAGCGGAGAATTCGATTAGGGGAAGTTTTCGCGAAAGGAAAACTGCTGTTATCCAGAGTTTTCCCGAAAGAGAGAGATCGATATATAAATAATTACATGTTTTAAATGGCTTGCAAAGGCGTCACATCGAACTTCCGAGGAATGGTTCAACTACTTTAAAGTACCCTTTCTATATTCAGAGCATGAATGAATTATAAATCAAAACTCTCCTGCCTTTCATAACCCTTTCTTGTAAAAGAAAAAACATTTTCAACATTATATATTCTACTCTCCCGACGCGAAATTTTACTTTCGAAAGATTAAATATCAACTTCAATTTTACGCTATTTAATTTCGAAAATATCGGGCTGAAAAAGGAAACTAGAGAAAATTGTTTAAACTTTGTAACAAAAATTTTGAGGAAAAGATAGGATAAAAGCAAGTATTAAAAAGAAGAAGAAGAAGAAGAAGAAAAGAAGAAGGATCTCAAAATTCGACTTACTGTAAACGCCTATCATAGTCGTTGCAACCACCACGTAGCTGCGCTGCCGTCGACCTAATAATGGGGTGAGTAGGGGTGAAACGGGGATGATTCGGCCAGTAGCATGCCGCCCTTCGTGCTATAAACATCGTGCAACTCCCTCGGAAACGGAGATCGTCGATGGTGGTCGTCCTCTTCACCTGACTTCCATCTTTTCAAATCTCGATATAATTTACACCTGAAATCATCGTACAACGTCAGTGATAGTCACTTCGTACACACACATACACACGTGAGTAATTTTTAAACACGATTGTACAAGTATAACACACGGTCAGATGTTCATACCAACACTGGTGCACCGGGAAAACAGCAACAGTAAGATAATCGTAAGAGATAAGAGAAAGGAGATGTGTGTGCACATATGTGTGTCTGTGTTAATTGTTAATTGTTAGTTGTTAATTGCATACGAAGATTACCCTTCACAGTAATTAAACAGTGATAAAGGGCGTGACGATGCGAAAGAAGCTCCGTCCTGAAAGCTGTGTCCGAATGCCAACCCGAGTTTCGCTAATTAACAAACAGCACCCCATTCATTCACCTGACTTAATGGATACCGCGAGGGGCGCGAGTATCCCCTTTTTCCACGTTCGAATCTTCCACGCAATACCGCCACGCACCTGTCCTATCTTACGAGAACGAATCCACCATTAAATTCATTCATTTTTATATTTGGAAAAAATACGAGGAATATATGACGGTAACTTTTAAAATAGCAATTTCGTTTCAACGAATTTGAAATCGTTTTTAATATTAGGATTTAAAGAATCTAAGTATCGTTTAATAATTATTTTAATAATTATGATTTAATAATACATTGGTGGAGTAAAAGCAGAGAGAGAAAATATTTCTCGGCGCGAGTAAGTTCTTGCGTGTGAAACGAACTTTTTTCTCAACAGGTCGATTATACTCGAAGGGGGGGAAAAAAAAATCATTAAAACCTTTGGATATTCATTGCGTGACCAATCTTGTAAATGTAATTTTTTTTTCACTCGATTTCAGCCTCCCCTCGATAAAAAGGTATATAATTAAGATAGAGCAAAAAAATACTTATTGCTTTGGTAATTTTGTTGCAACAATATTTCCCTTTCTTCTTCTTTCGAAATCATGTAATAACCTGTAAATCTCTAAAAGTATTCGTTTCTTCTTTGGCGAGAAGGGAGAATCTTGATTAATTCTTGAAAAAATCCTCGAAATTCGAATGAAAAGGATGAACTGTGTGCAATTAAACTTTTAAAGGTTTAAGAGTTTAAAATGCAAAAGTGATTCCTAGATAAACACCGTTTAATTTCGTTTCCACCGAACGAAATTTAAAAATAATTCATTTATTCAAATTCGAAGATTGATTCTTCTTACATTATTCATAACGCGTGACATTTTTTTTTTCCTTTGCCAACCAGTGCATCTAAATGAGCAAACGAAGATCAATTTCACGTTTCGTTTAAGAAACATATTTAAGAAATGCGTGAGTAGAATAAAAAAAAAGAAAAAAGGGACAAAGTTGCAGGGAACAACATTCTCTTTTTCATCTCACGTTCAGGGAGGAAAGCATATTACGTCCATGAATCGTTTAATATGGAATATTCTTGGAACACATCTTGAACAATTGAGAAGATTTACGGAAAAAGTTCTCTTTAGTATACGCATATGATATATGGAAATTTATTGAAATGAAATTAAAATTTCCAAAGAATTTACTTATTCGATTTACATTTTTCATATTTTACATTCCTTTTCTCCACAAATTGTTTTTCTTCGATAATTGCACAACTTGTAATCGCAATATCATATCATTTTCTTTCTCAAGTCCAATGGAAATAAGTTTGACGAAAATTCTGATCTACTTTTCATTCGATTCTTGATATTCGTCGTAATATTCGTCTTGAAATATCGCGAATGATTTAAATTACATATCGAATGTTCCAAGAGAATAAATGACGTGTATTAAATGATATTTTCCTTCGTGTCAACATGTCCAAAAGAAGGTGAAAGAGAAATGAAAGTGGCAGTCTAGAAAAGTGAAAATTTCCTGAACGATTTCTTTCGTACGTGGCTTATTAAATTCATGAAACGCGTTTGGATCGATAGTTATTCAACTAGGTAGGAATTTCATCATCTAAGTTACTTTTCACAAGTCAAATAGCATCAATTATTTTAACGTGTCATTTAATTAATCGAGAAAAAAAAATGCAAAAAATCGTTTGACACCGATCGTCAATCAATCAATTGAGAAAGCCAAAAATTTCGACGATGAAACAAGATCGATGCATTATCGAAAATATATTTCAAAAAAGAAGAACCCATCTAAACCAATCAAAATTTATTATTTCGATTCAGAATCAAACTACTTTTTCCAAAAGGAATCAAAAAAATTGTTGAAACTACATCGTATGCAAATAGACAAACGAAATTTGTTTAAATCGAGTTTCTTTCTTGAAATCACATAGTCGTTTCCTCTCTATAACAAATATAACAAATATATTTCGTCAGAGACAAGAAGGATATTATAGATATCAACGTGAGGGCGAATCGGAACAATATTATTGGAAACACGAATCGATAATCGAAGTGCAAGACATTTTTGTATCCGCGAATATATCACCGTATCGGTAACAGAGAGGCTGTCCAGAAATACGTACGTATCCCACGGCACAACTTCTGTTTGAATTATTGGCGAAACCGATGCCACTCCGTCTTCCTCTTGCACAATTGAGCACTCTGTTTCTGTCGAGACACTCTCTTATCCCTTACTAAACAACCCACTTTAAACTGATCGCTATTAATCGCGTATGGAACCACGAAATTATCACTTTTCCATAAATGTGTCGGAATGATGATTAAATTAAATGATGAGAATCGTCGTATGAGAATTTATAATAATTCGATAGGGAAAATGAATCAATAAGATAAATAATTTTTGTTGTATTTATTCTTTCTTTCTTTCTATCCTCTCTCTCTTCATTTTCATTTTCTTTTTTCTTCTGTTTTGAAAATTATTCTACCTCATGGAAAAGACTAAATTTTTTTTCCATTTCGTTTCGTAATACGGCATTGTAACGTGAATTAATAGTGGAAAAAGGCTCCGAAATAGGAAAATTCTCGTGGCGGATTAATCCTAAAATAAATCCCGCGAGTGTAATGTTCTCGATGACGTCAACGGTTGAAATTTTTCATCAAAGACATTGTCCTCTGGGAAATGGTACGTATTAAAACCGGAAAAAGTAACTGTTGATCGCGTATATATTTAGTCAGAAAAGTGGTTTCCAAGTTGGACGGAGTTTGACTCGTTATTTTCAATCTCGAAAATCTGTGATGTTCGTGCTACATCTGCTCGTGAAAATCGATTATATCACGGCACTCGTGCAATTACTCGGTCGTGAATTACACGATCTCTCAAACAGGAACGTTAACAAGCCGCCGAAACGAGGAAAAACTCCTATCGAAAAATTACGTGCCCGATGGCGACGGCCACGCTTCCGTTAAAAAAAAAATATATATATATATATTCAGCCGGTTGGATTGAATCGAGAATTTCTCCCTAGGCCGGAAAATCGAGGCAGCAAATACTCGAGGAAACCATGGTTGGAAAAACGAACGAGGATGAAAGAATGGAGAACAACCTGCAGCCCGTTTCCATTGTGTTTATTTTTAGCCCGCGACACAAAGCTCGTAACTCGTAGCGCAGGTAAAACGTTCCTTGTTACAGCTTGATGATTTCGTTCAACTTTTTCCAAATTTTTCTACCAAAAAAAAAAAAAAGAAGAAAGAAAGAAAAAAGAGAAATACACTATAGGAATACGAGAGAAATCGGTACAATCGATTCCTACTCCCAATCACGATTTTTGCCACGCACTCTGTATCTCTGTCGAAGTGGAGCAAAAGTTCATCCGGCGATCAGGAGGGAAGGAAAGGATCATTATCATTGACGCTGTACAATGTACGGTCGCCTTTATTATTTCCAGCGCAGAAACAAAAGAGCAAAATGATGGCCGCTAGCCGCTCGTTTCAACGTGGCAACGATCATTTTTCACCCGCGCACGTATTCCATTTTTGTCACCGGCTGTTAGAGACAGTAGAGTAGAAAGGGGTAGGAAGCAAACAGAGAGGATCGGTTACCGCTAATTACTCGTCGTCGACTTCTCTCATCGCGAAGCCACGCGGTTTAAATGAATAATGAATATTTTATTTGCATGGCTTCATTGAGGAAAAAAAAGAAAAAGAAAAAAAAAAGAAAGAAATAGACCAACGTTCCTTACTCGTCTGCCCTTTCTTTCTCTTTCCTCTTCTTTTAAATTTTCGGGGAGAGATAGTACGTAGCTGGGCATTATCGATCGCGCCGCCAACATTTGTCATTTTTATCGGCAATATTATAAAAAATATGTGTACGTCTGCGAACGTTTTGGGAATTGAAAACGATGAAATTGACGAGGGATTACGACGAATTTTTATTTTTGTAGTTAATTTGTTATGTAAATGGGAAGGATTACAAGCCACCTAAAATTACAGAGTAATGTAAACAACAGGATGATTCTGTTTGTTGATTAATCTGTTTAACGTTTGTAATAATATGTAATGTAATAATATTTAATCTGTACGAGGAACAATCAAGTTATTGGAAATTTCGTTTCGTCGTTATATGTCGATTGATTATAAAGAAGATATAAAAACTTTATTTTAACGACATTGTTGCGCAGACCTAATAAAAGAAAATGTATTGAAGAGATAAGTGATATCGTAAAAAAATGATGGTCACAAGATGGTTATTTATCAAGCACTCACGGTGTCTTCGATCGCTCGATATTTGTATCGGAATGACATCAATGGCGCGAACTTGTCGGGGATTATAACATTGTGCTATCAGATTATCGCAATATCGGGTCAAAAGCGACGCTTGATTCGCCATTCGATAAAATTTATCGGAGGGTGAAAGCCTCTAATTGATCGCCACGCTTCCGGTTATAGTGATTGAAAAGTATCGACAATCTAATCGAATAATTTACGCCCGTTCAAAAATTATTTTCACCGCCACTTTATTCTCGTCAAAGAGTCAATTAAATCTGCCCTCGATACGGGGATAATAACTTGAAGATTTTATCTCGAAAATATATCCCCACAACTTTGAATCGAAATCTAAAAATTTAATGGATCTGAAAATTTGATCGAAATCACGAGCGGTCGTTGGTTGTCAAATAGAAACAGGATATAATTAATCGGAAAAGTGAGAAGAATTGTGCGAAGATTATACGATAAATTGTTTTCTCCATCGCATTTTTATCTCCAAATCTTTATTTTTCTTTCGTTGATATTTTTTGAAAAAATTTGTTCAATTCGTGATATGGAAAAACTCTTGACTGGGAAAAAAACACGTGTACTCTTTTCAATCAAAAATTTTCTATCGATGCTGGTACTGCAGCCTAGTCAAATGTTAGCTTTCTGCACGACGTGGCTCGATTTTTAATCAGACGAGATATTAAAAATTTGTTCAACGAGACTATATCATCGAAATAATATTTTATATTTAGAGAGATTTCTATATTCCTTTATCTATTAAATCTTTTCTTCATACTCGATATATAATACTAATTGTCAAAATTACTCTGTCTCATCCTTTTCTGTTAACAATCGTATGAAGAATAGCGCGATTTTCTGATTATCGTCTGATTACGTTCGTCAATTAAAATATTTCCTAGAAAATGGATAGTTTTCATGGATAGTTATTTCCTATTTAATCAAAATTGTTTTCAACAATTATTCAAATTTTCATAAACAGCTAAAGATATCTAATGTTGCTTTTGGAAAATGGTACACGGTGAAGCGAAAATACACTGAAAAATAACGAATTTTTAAATTCTTCTTTCCACAAAAGGATGGATGAATCGTTGCATCCGAACATTCGAATCTGTTTAAATGCCAGGGCGATAAATCATCGATACGAGGGAGTAAACATCCCATCGAATTTCAACGATGTGACCGTCGACGCACGTTTGTAACGCGAACTATGCCACGATCATGATTTCACTAGAATCCGACTGATCGATTTCGAAGTGTTTCGAACGTTTCATCGGAGGAAATTTGAAACTTTTCCTGATCGTGCAAATTAAATCGTGTGTTAATTCCCGCGGTGTACTTCGAATTGGACTGTTTTTTGCTAAAAACCTTTTTAGATTTGATGAAAAACAAGTTGGATATGCGGCGAATTTCGCGTTACTCGTTTACGATTTTCATGGAAAGATGGATCGAAAAGAATAAAAGATAATGAGAATATTCCTGGTATTCCATCGATTTCCACCTTGGAATACATTCCATCCGTATTACCATACACAGAATTTTTTAAATTTACGTGAAACTCTCTGAAAATGCTTTTTCCAGATGGATAAAAATATCAAAAGTCGGAAGGGGGATCGTTGTTATTAAACGTTTTCAAGTGTTGTAAATTCGGGCGGTTCGAAACAGTTGACGGAATACAATTCAACATTTTTTCTCTAACTGTGTGCGCATTTGATACTTGACGTTAAAGATGATTAAAATACAATGGCGAGCATTCTGTCCACAAAAAAAGAATAAATTATAAACGGGACACAAAAACAAAGGAGAAGAGCAAGCACGTTGCTCTTTTAATAATATTCCCTGCTCGTGTCCACGATATTAATCCACGATGCCTTTAGTTAGAGAGTAAAATAAAACGAACAAAACCTCCGTCTATCCATGAGGATGGAACACATATTTCACGTATGTATATTTTCAAAAAGATCCTCCTTCCTTCGAGCTACGATACTCTTCCCTCTTGACGTTTCGCAACGCGAGAACCTATAGATTATATTTCATATCTACAGGGATGAAGAATAGAGAATACGAGATACGTATCATCAGATAGATAAACGTTGAAAACGATTGTTCGAAAATAGAAAAAAACTATAAAAGAAAGGAGAAAAAATATTGGTGAACGCGTGACAGGTACAATCGTGCGTTTGCCAGCGACGTTTCGCAGAATTTTCCATTTCTCTTTCCCTTATTCCGATAACTTGGTGGTCGATACGTTGTACAGGATCGGTTTGGAGGATCGTAACTTTAGATTTTGGCTCGCGTAGATAGCAATATCGTTGTTACGTTGATGAATAGAACGTTGGTCGGGAAAACGGATCATCGATTACGTAATGTTGAGATAATATGTACATTCTAATTACGCCGCGATTGAAACTGATGACGGGTAAAATTAACCGTGAAAATTTATGCGCATTACCAGTTCAACTTTACACTATGTCCATATGACGTTTCACGTTAGTTAGGTCCCGAACTCAAATATCTGTTAGAGAGGAGTCATTCGGTTCCACGAATATCATCTCTTCATGTCGGCATAATTTCGAAATTGAGCATCGGATTCCTCGTATATTAACGAGATTAATTCGAGCACGATTACCGAACCAAGTCATCGATGCAAATTACTAAATATACGTATCCATTCCCTCGCAGAAGCGCAAGTATTAGCTTATAATTATTTCATTTATACGCGTCGAGCAGCCTTCCAGGCGTGGATTCGATTCCAACGAGGGAACTCGAAGGTATTGTTACGTCGTTAAAAAAAAAGAATAATAATTTCGCGTTGAAATATGTAAGCCGATAATTCAGAATAACGTTGATGTAATTGATAATAAATTTAACAATACGATTGGAACGAAGTGTATTTCGTTTGCATAATTTTCGTAACTAAATATAAGAATTGCAAAAGTTTGGCGCTTTTGTTCGATTGCGTAACGTTACGTTTATATGAAAGTATAAAGGATATAATTATTCAGGATCTGTGTTAAAGTTAACTAATTAGTGGTGAGTAAAACAAAGGACGGTCGTGTTTAATTTCGATTTTCAGATTTAATAATCTCACGTGATGAGAGTCAAGATGTAGAGCAAGTTCGAGGAAGTAACGAAAAATGGTGGACAAAGAGGAAATAACGAAGACACCCTCGCCCCTGAATATCAACGAGGCGATCGAGGGGGATGCGTTGAATCAAAAGACTGCTAGGAGTAAGTACGAAGATACGAAAAAGATATTATGCGAGGAACATCGGTTTTCCCTTTAACTTTCCATCTGATCCAAACTTGAGAATAAGCAGAGTTACAAATTAAGTTTACAACTTTCTTCCTCGTTTTGATTAACAAATTTTCAAGAACTTTTATCTTTCGTCTCGTCTCGTGTCCGATGAAAAATGATATTTAGAAGAATTCTTGAAAGAAAATATAGAATAGATAAGAAAGTAGAGATAGGAAAGATCCATCCATTGAGAGAGGAATATAAAATTGTTGGAAAGAAAGTATATTAGAATATTCAATACGATCCACCGAGAAGAAGAGGAGCTTGTTTTCGAAATAAACATTTCTTTCGAATATTTTGGGTGATGGATCGAATCGAATGATGGATGATTATTAAGAAAAAAAAAATTTCTGTTTCTCAGTACTTAAGAACGATCTTCTATTATACGAGGCTGTGATAAAAAATGAAGCGGACACCGTTCGAAAAGTGCTCAAAGAGACTGTGGACGTCGATTCCAGGAACAACGTAAGTCGTAAAATATCCATTAATAAAATTAATCAAAGAAATTCCACTTCTACGATGGATCCAAAATGCTTAAAGCGAGACGATTTTATTGATCGTAATTGAATCGCGTTTAATCTCGTTTCCGTTTTCGATTCAAAATCGAATATCTCGAAAATGGAGGTATCCTTAGAACGATTCAAAATAGGATTCCTTTTCCCTTTGCACCCACTTCGTTAAGGTTAATCTTAGACGTTATTGTATAGCACGGTCGAATGCTCTAGATAATATGATGCGGTTATAGTGTATACCGGTGCACAACGTGAATAACGAGTCTGATTAAATATGGAATATTACTACTTAGGGATACGTTATCAAAGAGATACGAGAATTTAATTAAGAATTTAATTAATATATATCGTTCTTAGCTTCGTTATTCTAATTGTTCTTATTTCTTTTTAAATTCAATTATAATACGAGTTCACGTCGGACTAAAATATTTCACTTAAACTAGTTAAAAAAGAATTATAATCTCCGGAGAGTTATAATTCTTTACTTGTGGTGTCTCGAGTTTTATATATAAAAAAATTTAATTAAAAATTATTAATTATATATGTTTTGAAATCATATAAATTTCGAATCGATAAGAGAAATGATCGGGTATAACGAAAATATTGGGTATAATCGTCGCGTTAGTATGAGTGAAATACTAAAAACACGTACGATGTTTTGCACTGGAAAATGATTTAGTATGGACGAGCGCCAATTCATTGGGCAGCATCGAGGGGAAATACGGAGATCATCGAGATGTTGATACAAGCGAAATGCGACATCGAGGCGAGAGACAAGGTAATATTTCATTGAATATATTAATATCAATAAAATATCTGTATTGATACGTAGAATTAAATTAAATTGTTTAATTGTCAGAAATAAATAAACACAATATTTG